CTTATGTGTCACTCTGAACAGCAGAGACATGTAAACAGTGAGAATGTCTGCTCAGACTGATGGGTTGTATAAACATGTACATACTGAATGAGGAATGAATATTTAAGCCCCTAGAGAGGATTATTATTTTTTGTTCAAATTACAATGCAGTTTTATTTTATGTTTAAATCAATGCTGTCAAGCTGAATGCAAACTGTGTTTACTACTGCTTCTGTTCTTTTGAGTCGTTACGCATTAAAATATTTATTTACCGCGTTTCGTACATTACGAGTCATGTTTTCTCTCAGTTTGAACAAAGATTATTGATTTGTTTTCTTCTGCGTGCGAGGAGGAAAGCCCGTTAGTGTCTAGCATTTCTTTGACTTGCAGTTCCCATGCTGTGCAGTCTGTCGTCTCAATCATTCCGCATCGTTTTATAATGTTTATGTGAACGTTTGCGTTTTTAATTCAGTCTTCCAGTCCTGCCTTGCATGTCTTAAAGCCATACGGTGGTGGAGGGGGTTTTCTTTTTCTGTGAAGTGAGTGCATATTAATAAAGCAGCTTTGGATCTGGGCCACCATGACACTGCTCTCAGTAGCTTGTCACAATCTGGACTTGTGTGACAAACAGTCCAATTACACTTCTCTTGCTGCGAGTGGTGCCATCGTTGCCCAAGGCCGCCCACAGGCCCGGCGCTCTCCGGCCGGGTTGGCACCGCACAACTCGCAGCTTCTAATGAATTCTCTGGAGGGGACCTCGTGCTGCTGTCTGCCCATGTGGACATCTGAATGGGCCTGATGAGCATGAATGGTTCCGCTGTGAGTGAGCGAGCGAGTCATGACGCAAGAAGCTGTGAGATGTAATTGCACAGCGCTGACCACTGAGACAAAGATTCATCTGTTTGATTGAAACAAACAACAACAACAAAAAAAGCTGTTTGTTTACATCACAGGGGTTCGGCTCATTCTTTGCATTAAAAATGGTCAGATTAGTTCTGCTGTGCAAACCATTCAACAGCCCTACTCTCTTTATCACAAGCATCTTTTTTTAATGGTATTACCAGGACACCACCAGGTCTAGCTGTTGTAGTCAGAGTTGTTTTCTTCCCCAGGAAACCAGGGCAAACTTGTTTCTGGATAGTCAGTCTAGAAATACACTTTTTATGGCCAAACTGAAAAATAACAATGTTGTTGGTTTATGCTGGACTTTTAAAGTTTAGCCAGTCAGGCCCCTTATATAAAAAAGGAAGCAGTGTGGTAACACTAACTAAGCTTTTCTGAAAGCAGGCAAGAAACCCAAACAGGACTCCAGTCAACCACCAGGTGAAAATGAAGACCCCCAAACCTAGAACAGTGGTCATTTCGTATGTTGGGGGAGTTTCAGAAAAACTGAGACGTTTATTCTCTAAACATGATGTCCCAGTGGCTTTCAAACCCCAAAACACATTACGGCAAAGACTGGTTCAACCAAAAGATGCGGTCACCCGGCACAGGTCACTACGGGCCAGGACGCTGCAGTCTACAATCATCTACAATTGCATAGTTAAATTACAGGCAATGATAAAACTGACAACAAAATAATTGCCACTTTTTTATTTACATTCCTGCTTTCTGTGTGCCTCACTCAGATCATTTTTAGAATTTTTAGCTGTAAAAACACTGTTATATAAAACAGACTTTTGCATGGGGACAAAACTGCTGAGAAAGTTCAGAGAACTTTTTTTTCTAGAAGTTCTTAAAATGCATTGGTTTTTGCAGCTTCTCCAAACTTATGGAAAAGCTCAGTTTTTAAGATACACACAACCGACTACAGATAGGTTTAAATCCTAAGACCCATGTTTTTATGCTTTTTGATTTAAATAGAGCCTAGAATTGAGCTGATTTTGCACTCGTGCACGTTTTATTGCATTTTTAGTTTTTAGTTTTTAGTTGTTTTTTGTATTGATTTTGATGTCTAAGATGTTTTAAATGTAACATATAATTAAAAACTGATGTTGACAAATTCAATACTCTCACCTTAATCAAAATTCAGACAATGTTAAGTAATTAAAATAATTGAATCACACATTGTGGGAATTTACCTATAATTGATAATTTCTGTTCACTCAAACAACAGATGTGTTGGATTTGCTTAAACAAATTATGTCAGCTCAACCGAAATGAGCAAATATAACACATTTACATAACATTTACTTTTAAAGTAAAGGAAAAAATACTTTACATTTAAGTAAATCCAACACATCTATTTTTTGAGTGTAAAAATAAAAAAATGTCCATACTTCTGTCTTTTTTATTACAGTCTTACAGTCCAGACTTTAAGGACTTTCAATACCTGACGATATGAAAAGTTGCTAAATATTTTTAAATTATGTTAAACTATCTGTGATGAAAAGAGCTGAACATTTCCAACTAAACAGCAAGGACAAAAAATGTGACATTTGATACAGAAGGATGAGTAGGTTGGCTGATATGTATACATACACACACGCACGCATGCACACATGCACACACGCACACACACAAAGACCTAATTCTGATTGATGTGTAACTTTAACACACAGCCTGTGAGGTTTAACTTGACTCATTTTTGTTTCTCTAACATTAATATAGATTACAGTCCAGCAAAAAAAAAAAAAAAAATTCGGACAATGTTATAAATCAGTAAATAAAACATTTCAGATGAACTGTCATTGTTTGACTCACCTGAGGGTGACGATGAATGATGCAGCTCCAAACCTCCAATGATCCAGCAGTTCAGAGAAGAGTGAAAGACCAGTCAGTTATTAACGTGATAAAACTGGGACTCCCAGGCTGCACGGTTCTGTCCTGGTGCAATCACCCTGTGTAATGTTGTGCAAATAAAGTGCAGATGGAACCATGCTGGACCCTCTGCAGGTGCTGTTGGACGTAGGACATAAACCTGGTATACGTTTCCATTTACTCTCTGGTTTCAGATCAACAATCTATAAAGAATTAATCATCGTAAACATCTCTGAAACGATGAATAAAACATGCAGCATCTGTTTTAAACTGCCTCCGATGTGATGGACTGAGAGATACCTGCTCACTTCAGCAGTTTCATGTTCATTTTCTGGTGACTCCACCCCTGAAGTCTGCGTTCTGTCTGCTGGGGCTCTGGATCAGCTTTGTCGTAATATTTAGTGGGCTGAAAAAGTTCATATTTGAGGTTAATGTTGTGTTCAGCTCGTAGAAGGTCTGGGTTACGTGATGGAGGTGTCAGAAAGACCCAAATGCAGACGTTAAAACTGGAAGAGGAGTGACAGTGAGAATGAAGGTTTATTGAATCAAAGCAAAAGCCTTCTGAAGCAGAACGTGATGGACATTAAACAACAAATGGAATTATTAATCCTGAACCAAGATAATCTAACACTTTGCAGGTGATGAGACTGACAAACTGAGACCAGGAAACACTGGATCTGGGGTCTCTAAACCTGGTCTTTGAGGGCCGCTATTCTGCAGTTTTTACTTGTTTCCCTGCTCACATCTAAATCTGTGATTGAATTATCTTTTCATGTTCTACAGAAGCTTTTCACTCACACATTCATTCAACTCAGGTGTGTTTTTACGTTATGTATCAAAAATGTAGAACTGAAAAATAAAGAACAACTGACAATTTATCTGTGTATACAGTTGAATTAGTAGCTATGAATTTAGAATGTAATGAAAAACAGAATGGTCAAAAATATAAACGTATGGCAGTCTTATCAAGCATCAAATTAAGTAATTCAGTTACTAAGTTACTTACTAAATTGATCATATTCTATACAAACTTTCTGATTTTAGTTTGGACCAGTCTTCATGACATTGCAATGAGTTCCAATAATTAAAGCTTTGTGTCAGCATGACCTCTTATTTACTGCTAAAAACACAAATGATAAGCATGTAACTGTTGGCCGTGTTTTAAAAAAACAGGAACTGTGGGTCTTTACAGAAACCACACTGCAGAGCAAAAACCTAGTTAGTTCTCCCTGAGTGTGTTGGGAGTCGTTCGGCGGCCTGCCACGCACCGCCACGCTTCAACATCTGAACGTTTGGAGCAACAGTAAAATAAAGAGTTCAAGGTGCTGACTTCTTACCTGAACTCCCCAGATCTCAGTATGATCAATCAGATGTGGGGATGTGAAGGAAAAGAAGAAAAAAAGTCTGATCCAGGGAGGTAGTCCCATCCTAAAAGAATTGATCTGGCCGCGTCTTGATGCCTCACACCACAGGACGCCTTCCAAGCTCCTGAAAAGTTGGCGCTTTGATGAGTCAGAATTGTTTTGGCAGCGTGATGACTTCCTTTTTCATGCATGGAATAAACCCCTTATCCTTTATTTCAGAGGATAAAGTTTTCCATCAGAAACTTAGTTGGGCTCCTGCAACTGAAGGAACGCTGTGTGGTTTTCTTGGGGGGAAATTATGACTCTGTTTTGCTCTGACGTCTCTCTTTATTAGCCTGTGATCCCGAGAAGTGGCTATTTGGGGCCACGAGTTTAATTGAGGGCACAGTTTAATAATGAAGTCAGGAAAGGGCATGCATTTATTTAAGTTCAGAGAGGAGAAAAAAATGAACCTTTAAAAGCAAGTTTCTGTCCACCCTTAATTTAAAATGATGAAAACTGTATATTAGTGCCAAGTCCACTTATTCTTAACTGGAATTAGCCCTGAGAGGAAAAGATGGATGGTGACAGTCAGAGTGGCGCAAACAGGAAATCTCTCTGAATACGCACCAACATTCAATCATGGCCCATTCATGTGTCTCTCTTCATACATGATTGCAGCTTATTCTCTTAGCATTTAGCAGCACAATCATTTGGTCCTCTGGAACAAAGCTAATATGAGGCAAATGAAAGGTGGGAAAAGAAAAGCAGAACGTTAACCACAGGCATTTTTCAATCTTGGATAATTTTTTTTTTATCTTTTGAGTCTGAAATGTTAGTTTCCCAAAATGTCAATTTGTTAATTTTCACTTTTAGTCTAACTTCATTTTCTTTCTTGAAAAGTACAACTGACATCTCAACTAATGGGGAAAAAAAAAACTTCAAACAGCACGATTAACATTTCCTCATTGCTCTTCATAACAATCAAAACTACCTGTTCATAAGTCATGGTTACAAAACTAGTGCAGTGAGTTGACATGTTTGGATGCCATTGACAGCAGACATAAAAGATTAATAATAATATAAATAACAATTGTTCTCATTAAAATGCTAAATAGTTGTTTTCTGATGTGCCAACAGGGACACATTTTCTTTCCGTCTGAAAAACATCCAACATCAACCTTT